CAGGTTTTACATTCTAATTTATTTTTTATATTTGAAGTGTTATTCATTACACATTTTGTTCCACATATTAACTAATCTGCAAGATGATCATTTACAGTTCTTATAATTACAGTACCTTATATTTCAGCATTTATAGTGTATACTCATATTTCTCAGGCAACATAAGAAGGACACTGTTACGCTGCAACACTGAGTGGTGAAGCACATAAGAGGTGAAGGCAAATTCACTGTAACATATGCATGTAATTATATTTATACATATTTTATTAGCTAAGTTAAGGCAAAATTGTCTCTCTCTTTTTTTTCCAGAGTCCAGAGTTATTGGTTTTTGCAGAATGATGGGCCACGTTCTGTTCAGAGTGTTCAGTTTCTTCACACTTGTCTCATTTAATCTTTAAGCTCTTTTGACTAATAAATAATTAATAATTAACATGATCTGAAGTCGTTTTTTTTTCTTTTTTGGTATTTAAATTTGAGACACATAACATTGCTTTTAAAAAGTGTTTTGTTATACAGGAGGCCGTGAATATCCCTTCAGCAGTCCAACAGGATGAGTATACATAATAGTTCATTAGGATTCCTGCAGAAGTCCTATAGGAACTGAACACTAATGCTTTAGGTTTTCTGTAGGATTCCTGCAGGAGTCCTGCATATTTCCTGTAGGATTCTGTAGGAGTCCTGCATGTTTCCTGTAGGATTCCTGAAGGAGTCTTGCATGTTTCCTGTAGGATTCCTGCAGGAGTCCTGCATGTTTCCTATAGGATTCCTGCATGTTTCCTGTAGGATTCTGTAGGATTCCTGCATGTTTCCTGTAGGATTCTTGCAGGTTTCCTGAAGTTTCCTGTAGGATTCTGTAGGATTCCTGCATGTTTCCTGTAGGATTCTGTAGGATTCCTGCATGTTTCCTGTAGGATTCTGTAGGATTCCTGCATGTTTCCTGTAGGATTCCTGCAGGAGTCCTGCATGTTTCCTGTAGGATTCCTGAATGAGTCCTACAGGAAAATGGTCATGAAAATCCTGTGGGATCCTGTAGGAATGTGCAGGTTTGTGGTGTGTAGGATTTTTTTGTAAGGATTTATCATCAGAGGTAACTATTAGTACCGAAAGATTTTATAATGAAAAAGAGAATTGACTGTGCTTAATTAAAAAAAAATGTTTTAAAAATATCAAGCTACGTTCACTGTACTTGTTTAGCTCCTATATCTGGATATGTAATTTGATCTTTTTACATTGAATTGCAGCTTCTTTTGACTTTTTATTTTTTCCAATTACAATAGATGACAGACTCTTCTACGTCGGCCCCAGTAGGCAGTAAATGCGGCTAGTTGTCCTGTCAGAGGAAGAGAAGAGGTCTGTTCTTACAGAGTGCCACAATAACCCTGGGACTGGCAATCACAGTGGTGTCAGAGGCGCTCAAAACAGGGTTATTGCTGGCTACTATTGGCCTAGAATTATGCAGGATGTGAAAGAATGGGTAATGTACTACATATGTGGTACTTTATTTTCACTTCTACTTTTGCCAGTTTTTTTTCTTTGCAAGTATCTATACTTAAGAATATGTCTATTTTTGCCACCTCTGATTGTTAGATACCTCCTTGATTTAGAAGTTATATTTATTGTCATCACCAGCTTATATCAAGTGGCTGTTTTTCTTGACATTTTGTTAAAAAAAATTGTGTTGCTTTTTAGGTCAGATCCTGTCACCGCTGCCAGTTGAATGACCCCATCAAGACTGTTGTGCCAGTCTTGCATTCTATTAAGGTACTGCATACAATGTTTTATATTTATCATCATCACCAACTTATATCAAGTGGCTGTTTTTCTTGACATTTTGTTAAAAAAAATTGTGTTGCTTTTTAGGTCAGATCCTGTCACTGCTACCAGTTGAATGACCCCATCAAGACTGTTGTCCAATCTTGCATTCTATTAAGGTACTGCATACAATGTTTTAGCAAACTGATGAGATTAACAAGCTAGTCTCAATCTTGTGTACAGTTTTACCAGCATTTGGTTTATGCTAATTTTGTGCCATGCAGGTAAAAGAACCTTGGGAGGTGCTTGGTTTGGATTTGATTGGACCACTGCCAGAAACTGCACACAACAACAAGTATGTCCTTACCATGACTGACCTGTACACCAAGTGGGTGATTGCGGAACCTATGCAATCTAAGACGGCAGCTGAGGTGTCTGCAATAATAACCGCAAAGCTGTACTTGTTTGGCATGGTTAGGAAAATCATTACAGACCAAGGGAAGGAGTTCGTCTGCAAGGTGAAGTTTATGTTTTTTCCCCCTACGCTTGTCTCAACATGTCCACCTTATTTTTCCCGAAAGAGCTGGCGCAGCCATTTGTAAATTTAATGTGTCTGGTTTCCGGTCTCATCTACTTCCAGCTATATTTAGCTGCGTTATATTAACAGCTCGTTTTGCTGCTTGATATTGCAAACTGGTGTGTCTTAACATATTATTTTAATGCATTATTTTAATTATGAACACTGGTTTGTAGTGCAAACAGTTTTACCGTTTACTGCACTGTTATTCTTCTACTTATTTCCCTACCGTGCTTAATGAAGCAGAAGTCTCACACATTCACAGAAAACGGCTTACTTCCACCGGCTGTCGCGATAACCGCAATATCGCAATACCGCGCTATTGACGAGCAAACCGCAGAGGACTGTGGTTATACAGCAGCTCTCTTTCCTGCTTCTGTAAAGATACACTCATAAACCTCCTTTGAATAAATATAGCCAAAATCCCACCAAAATCCATTGCCATGACTTATCGCGAGAGGCAAAAGGTTACGTTTAAGTCCCATAACATTGGTTAATGGAAACGCCGTCATTTCGCAATACTTTTTTATCTGCATTTATAAAATATCGCCAAAGTTTTGTGCAAATCTGTAATGGAAACGCGCCTAATGATGAGTTACAAACTCTGATGTTCTGCTTTATTTAAAGACAGTAACTGTGGATGATCTCTTTGTTAAGTAGCTACTTCAGTGCATACTTTAGTGCAATATTACAGGTCACATGGCGTATGTAAAAAGTAATATGATAATTCTGTACTATAACCTCCAAGAAATACTTAATAAGTGGCCGAGCTCCAGTATAAGGGGCTTTCCCTACATAAATGCTTAGACAATTTACACTGCACACGTCTGCGGCGCAGTGTGGCTCTGATACGGTCACTGAAGCTGATTACGGCCACTCAATACTTGTGTTTATGTTTTTATACAGTCTATGGTTTAGACTGTGGTTATACAGCAGCTCTCTTTCCTGCTTCTGTAAAGATACACTCATAAACCTCCTTTGAATAAATATAGCCAAAATCCCACCAAAATCCATTGCCATGACTTATCGCGAGAGGCAAAAGGTTACGTTTAAGTCTCATAACATTGGTTAATGGAAACGCCGTCATTTCGCAATACTTTTTTTTATCGACATTTATAAAATATCGCCAGAGTTTTGCGCAAATCTGTAATGGAAACGCGCCTAGTGACACTGAGATTCCTGGCAACAGGTAAGTCATAACAGACAAAAACAAATAATAAAAAAAAAAACATAATTATTACACTACATGTTTTATTACATTTCTCTCCATTTTCAATTTCTATCAATTTGTGTATGATATAACAAAAAATATGTATAAAAACATCCCTTGATTAACAAAACATGATCTCATGTTTTAATTGTAGGAGAGTCATTTAAATCACTCGGATTTCAGTATCGAATGGGAAGTACAACCATTGGGAAAATTGTGGAAGAAACATGCAAAGCTCTTCACCAAACTATGAAGAAAGATTTTTTGAAGGTGCACAGTCACATGTAAAAACACTGTAAATGTGATAATTATTTTGTGAAGTGTAATGACAGCACTATTCCTAATTAAATATTACTAAGCATTGATTTTACATTGACCTTTTAAATGTAGCTGTAGTACAATGCAAAATGCACAAAAAAGTACATAAAGTACATATGAATATATTCTAAATTAAAGTTCTTCATAGGCCAACTTTTTCTTGGGCATCTCTGTTGTGGAGGATCAAAGCCAGCTTGCTTATGTTATTTCTAAATGGTATCTCAAATAACAAGTTGCTCTAATGTTTTCAGACACCAACTTCTGAGGAAGAATGGAGAAAAATAGCTCATGAATTTGAATGGAAGTGGCAATTTCCACATTGCATTGGAGCAATTGATGGAAAGCACATCTTCATACAGCCCCCAGCCAACAGCGGTAGCATGTACTACAATTACAAATCAAGATTTTCCATTCTGTTGATGGCCATAGCAGATGCCAACTACAAGTTCATTTACACAAATGTTGGTGTTCAAGGCAGAGTCTCAGATGCAGGTTTGTTCGCACATTCTGATTTACGAGCAGCCTTAGATAAGGGGAAATTAAACCTTCCACCTCCCGAGCCTCTAAAAAACAGCAGCATCAGCATGCCTTATGCCTTTGTTGGAGATGAGGCTTACCCCCCGAGGAACGACCTAATGAAACCATACCCACACCGTCAACTCCAGCCTGAACAACGCATTTTCAATTACAGATTATCACGTGCAAGACGAGTTGTAGAAAATGCATTCGGGATTCTTGCCAACCGTCTCAGGGTGTTCCGTACCACCATCTGCCTTGAACCAGCCAAAGCAGTAGCGGTGACCCTGGCAGCACTGTGCCTCCACAATTTCTTGCGTCAAAAACAATCAGAAGCCTACCTTCCACCTGGGTTCACTGACTGGGAGGATGAGAACCATCAGCTCCATGAAGGGGAATGGAGAGTGCAGAGAACCCTGCAGTCTGTAAACATTGGAGGAGGAAGAAATCCAACGGTTGCTGCAAAACAGCAACGTGACTGCCTTAAAGACTACCTTGTATCCCCAGCTGGCAGTGTACCATGGCAAGATCAGTATGTGTAACAATTAAAATGATGATCAGGTAAACACATAACAGTGAACATTAACTTTTATTAGTAACTTCGTATTCTACTAAACAGGTCCATGTTCAAACATTCTCAAATAAATCCACTACAGAACACTGTTGGAAAAAATATGTAAATAATTCCAATAAAAACATAGAATAGCCCTCCACTGAATAGCCCTCAAACTTAAGTTCAAAGTAAATAAATAAATAACAAAAAGAATAATGATAAACATTAAACTAAAGATCCTGTAGCTGACGGCAACCAGTATCATCCGGCTGAGGCAAAAATGAGTATGCTTGCTGGGAAAGTAACGGGGGTGGTGCTGGTTTGGGTACTGAGGATGATGGAGAAGTAAGGTATGTTGAATGATGAGAATAGTAATTTCCAGGCATTGGGAAGCCTGGGTGACTTTGCACAGGATGCGGTGACAATTCACTTTCTTGGGCATCATAAATCTGAGACATTATAGATCGCTTCAATCGCAATACTAGAGTGGGGTTTTTGATCCGGCCAAGCTCCTCTGCGACCTGTTTCCCAAAAGAATACTCTCCTTTGTCCTCTCTGTTTGAAATCTTCTCTGCAACCTTACTGAGTATAGCTATTTTTTGTAGTTCAATGTTGTTGTCATTTGTCTTAGATCTGTACCTCACACGACGCAATGGTTGTGCTGAGCAATGTCGTGGAGTGACAAGAGCTGTAGAGGCAGGAGCTTCGGAGGCAGGCGAATCATTTCCACAAGCTGCATCTGAAAAAGGGAACTGCTGGGAACTCTGCTGTAAATCTGGAGACACAGCAATTTCATTTTCCATTTCAATTTCCTCCTGTTCTTCAGCAGCAGTATCAGGTTCAGGCTGTAAAAAAAAAACGTACAAGAACAATCAAAATGTTATAATAAAAATTACAAAAAAACGGACTTCCCTCTTTCTTCAAGTTCAAGTTCCTCCTTTTCTCTTATCTCTTCCTGTCTACCCCATGTCCTCCTCATCTTTCTCCCCTACTAATACTTTCTGCCTCTTTTTTTTTTTTTTTTACTTACTTCCAAGCTAGTTTCACTTGGTCTGTGTAAAACAAATGGCTTCAGGAATTGCAAGTGTTGGAATATCCACTTTTGCCTTGATGTCATCAGTGTTAATACACTACCACTTGGTTTTCCTTTAAGGATCTTTCCAAACTGCGTCCTTAGTGTAGCCATTCTAGTCTGCACATCCTGCACTGTATAAACAATTAAAAACAGCAACATTAAACTATTCTGACTAACTACACTAACTACAAAACTATCCCTTTAAATCAGTGGTTCTCAAAATGTGGTATGAGTACCAATAGTGGTACGCAAAGGAATTACTAAATTAAATATAAATTAATGTTAAAACACAATTCTCTGGTTTCACAGACAAGACTTAAGGCTAGTCCCAGACTAAAATGCACGTTTGAGCTATCGCAGCTGAAAATATTTTGCTCTGACATGTCTTAAAATATGTCAGTGCCATTGTTCTGTTTTAAGATGTGCAGCTGTTTTAATGTTGGTCATTATGCTGGTACTCGGAGATCCAATATTTTTTGAAGTGGTACTTGGTATAAAAAGTTTGAGAACCACTGCTTTAAGTGATACAACCGGTGTAAGCTAAATATTAACTTCAACAAAATGGATCAGCTTCTTTCAAAGACAAAATGTATTTTGCATGTCTGTTAACCGCTGTGTGTGTACATTTTTATACATTCATGTCGAAAAGACACATCATAGCTAGCTATTAGCTGTAGCCAACAGGATAAAAACTCACCTGAGAGATCAAGTTCTTGCGCAATACGCTGTAAAACATCATCCTTTCGAATTCTATCGTGATACACACTGCAGGCCACGTCATATAGTACACGTTCCTCCTGCCACAGTTCCACAAGCTTGTCTTCCTTCTCTAAAGGCGAGCGTACACGGTGCGATTTTTGCTGTCGTAAAAGCTCGCAGGTGATTTTTTTCTCTCGGGAGAAAATCGCAGATGCTCGCATGGTCGCGGCTCGTACCGTGTGAGAAGAATTATGGGCCGATCCGAGACGTTACGAGCACCTCCCGTCCTCCCAATAATTTTCAAACATGTAAAAAAAATCGGATGCTGTCAGTTTAAATTTGTGGCGTATGTGCGGTTGAACAAGACGATTTGGCGATCCATCTGAAGTTGACCAATCAGAAGATGACAAAAACCATATAGTCTATAACAATTTTAGTTTAATTATACAGTTCTATTTTTAATTTGTTATTCCGAATGTGCCAAATTTGCCGTTCAGCTTTATGAATGAATATGCCTGTTGTATTTCCGGCAAAACGAGCAGAAATTCAGAAATGGCCTACTCCCTCGAGTTCTTTATGAAGAACAGAAAGTCCATGCTTTTCTCTGCTTTTCAGCCATTCTCTTTGCCATGTCCTTTGTCTTCGTTTTTTTTTTTTTTTGGATCGTGACATGTGCCAGAGCTCACGACGTTCCGACCTTCAGAATCGCACCGTGTACGCCCACCTTAAGGGTTCAAATTCTGCGTGGCGCCGCCATTGTCACCTTCTTCTTCTGTGGGTCAACTACAGATGGATCACCAAATCGTCTCGTTCAACCGCACATATGCCACGAATTTAAACCGACAGCATCCGATTTTTTTTGACATGTTTGAAAATTATCGGGAGGACGGGAGGTGCTCGTAACGTCTCGGATCGGCCCGTAATTCTTCTCACACGGTACGAGCCGCAAAGACCACAAGTGTGTGTATTTGGACAAGGCACTGGCCTTCGAAGTCCGTGGCCTTCGAAGTGTGCACACTCAGCTTTGGGACACTGCTTATGTTTGCTTTTTTAATTGCGTTGTGTTGTGAGCTTATGTTTGCTTTTTTAATGTCGCTGTGGTGTGC